AAAATTATTTTTTAAATGCATAAAAGGTTAGAAACCTACAAAAACGCGTGAAATAAAAATTGCGTAATATTGCATAATCTTATTTATAAAATTGAAATTATGTCCGTATGACATCTGTGGACTGTCCACTATACAAATTTACATTTTTATTCCGGTCTCAATAAAACTTAGCAGAATATTACTTGAAATTTAAAATAAGAGGGAAATTGCTGTTTAATTTTTTCCCGAAATTCAACCCCTAAAGGATGAATCTCATTTTATATAATGATATTTTAATATGAACAAATTAAAATTTTTTGGGTAACTTTGGTAACACAAATAAAATAAAAACATATTTATTATTATTTAATTTGGTTGTCATAAACAAGGATATGATTTTTACGTTGCTTTATTTATTAAATTTTTCTCGCGAAGAAGAAATTAAGAATTTCTCACATAATATATTATATCGAAGTCCTAAAATCTAGAAATATGTAACGGAAAATATTTGAGTTTTAGATTCTGAGTATAGCGCGAGAGCTATTGGTTTTACAATGCTGTTTATTTCTTTCTTTTTTATTCCTTGTTCTAGTCTGTGGACACGTTTTTTCCTAGTAAACTTGCTTCAATTTTTCTGTAACTTTTTTGTAAGCTCAAGTTGTCTAGATTGTACTTTAAAATTGTCATTTTTTGATTTTCGATGTTATTTTTTAAATATAAGCTCTACTTAAGTGGGAAAAAATGTAGGAAAACGTACAATTTCACGATTTTATAAAATCATGGACGACGTATTCTACCAGTAAAAATGATTTAATCGAAAAATCACAAGGTACTTTTTTTGTTGCCTTTTTGATTTACTTTTTTATGGTATCATTGCCAAAAATGTTGAGCTACTTTTGAGCTTTTAAGGAATTTTAATTTTTGGGAGATTTTTTCTTTAATTCGGTTATAAGCACACGTAGAGACTTGAAACTTAGTAATAATTATTATATTGGAATTACCTAGACGTGGTAAAATTTCCAAAATTATCGGACGACTTTTTCTTTTTTAATAAGTGTTTCGAAATCAAATTTAAACGAAAATTGCAAAATAAAATTACGATGTTACCAATTATGTATTATCAAAGTGCGCTCGAAATCGTCTTTCGACAAGCAATAGTTTATTCGTTGTTTACAGATATCAATGAAATAATCTTATGTATCCTACCTCCCTAACTTCTCACCTACAACAGTGGCCTTACCCATCCCCAGTATCGACTCTTTTTATATAATATAGCCGTCCCAGCAATGCTTAGCTATTGTTAGATTTTATTATTATTATTAATTTTTTTTTTTTGTAGCTTAATTAACAAACAATATTCAGTAGGTACCATAGATACGGTTTAACCCTATCAACAAAAATTATACCAAAAAATACCAAAATCCCCTATCAGCTGTCCTTTAGGGGTTGAATTTTAGATATTTTAATAGCTATAAACCTTCTCTGGATCACGCGGAACATTTTGCAAGACACCTCGTTAAAATCGGTCCAGTAATTTCTAAGCCTATAAAGGACAGACAGACATTATTTTTTATATAATACTCTAATGTCATATTAAAAATAACTATGAGAACTATTCCATAGAAGTTTACAATTAATTAATCAATTCAGTTGTTGTACAAACACACGCGGTTGTCCGTTCCATTCAAATTAACCAAGGTAACCCGTGAATAAACAAAAATAAATAAATAAACAATATTAGATATTCGTACCAAAAATACCTGAAAACCACTATTTTACCTCTTAAGAGTTGATTTTGCAACAATTCTTTCTTAGCCGATACCTTCGTCATAATAAATATCTGTATACTAAATTTCAGCCCGATCCGTCCAATAGTTTCGGGCTAGGTGTTGATGGGTGAAACGTGAATGAGTGTATCGGACGTTTTACTTTATATATATATATATATATATAGATAATGTGTAGATATGTAGTAGGTAAATATTAAGATATTGAGACCGCTAAATTTTGAAATTGTCCGACTTCGGCGCCACTGACCTACGTTATTAATTACCTACTAATTTACTTATTAGGAACCGGAATTATATGTACACGTGTGTGTGCTTTAAATAACGCGTGTATGCAAAATAATAACTGCGAGTTATGCACCGGGTTATACTCGTATAATATGCTTTCAAAATGGCAAAAAATAAACTCCTCGTTATAAAAATAAATAAATAAACTTTCTAAAATCTATATGTTTTATAATATTGTGGTACTTATTATTTTCATCGTTAGTCGATAAACAATTATTAAATATAGTGTTTATTACCTTATAATAATTATTATTGGTGGTTCTTTTTAACCATCATTTCAAATTTAGGTTAAGTTAGTGTATATTGTATACCTAGTTAAATTAGGTAAGTATTTTATCTTGAATTTCTTACGAAACGTATTCGTCATATTCGTCATAATTGTTGAAAAACCGTTACACGCAATTCTATCGAACGTGATTCAGAACTAAAATGATTTAATAATTTTATATAATTATTTATTTAGAGTAGGTAGATACTAGGTATAGCTGGTACTTATTCTATAAAATCTGCAAATTATATGTATTAACCACAATACGTGTGGTTATACTATATTTTAGGTTACAGGTCGTTACAAAATTATTATAAATTTCGCATGAAAAACTTCATTATTAAAACTTGTGCCTGTGCTAAGGTAACGTTACGCTTGCACCCCGTTACGAAATACCGAAATACTCATTATATTTATATGGATCACGGGAATCGAAAACCAACAAATAGCCAATTTAGGTACCTTGATTTTTTCTTTAGTGAAATCTCTTTGTATTGCTAAAAATCAAAAAATCATAAATCTAAACATTTTAAATAATATTTAACACCAGCATAACAGCGAAGATGCAATATTGATTGTTTTTGGTGTTTTTAATAAAATATATTGATTAAGTTTTGAACTCTGAAAAACCTCTTGAAAAACCTGAAAACGAATTATAAAAAATGCTTTATGCTGTTTGAATAATATTATTAATTCATTTTTCAAGAAGGTCTTCTTTGTTCAGAAGAACACAGTATGAAAGTCAGTAGAGTAAGATTTTGATTACTGTCTGCCCACTAAAAAATAAACGGTAAATGATTGAATTAGTCTATTTTGTTACAAAATATTTTATTTTACATAGGAAAAACTCTCACTGGTAGGAGGTAGGTAACTGGAAGATGTCCAAAAATTAAGGGAAGAGTTTGGTCTGTCTACTCGTGGAGTTTTTTTGAGCGAACATACTGTATGGATGTTTGCTAAAACAAAACTGTTGTATATTTTAGGTTTTTAAAAAAAGGATATATGTGATAGATATGTCCTTCTTGGTAAAATAAGTAGGATGGACAAAAATTGATATCTATGATATGATAATACTGTATGATTGAAGAGTGCACACTACTCAATTCTGGAAATTTTAACCCTTGATAAATTTGGTTGGACATATTTTTAGACTCTGAACGAAGCGAATGAAACCAATGTTTTGGTTTCCACTGTGTTTTTTTTTTGCGTCTAGAATACTTCTACCAGAAATCTTCCACTAACTTCTCTTCTAAAAAAATAACCCTCCCATTAATATAGTATGATTTTTTTAATTTTGAACTTTGTACTTTGTAAGTTTGTGTACAAATATTAAATAGTTATAAGAGGGGGAAATCAATATTTACAAGCATAAAGTATTTTTCGTATATTATTTTTCAAAAGTGATTGAATTTTACATCGTAGGTACGTTTAACTCTATATAATGTTATTGAAATGAGAATGCAGGCATGTGTAAGTATATTTATGGTAATTTTTGTTGAAAACCATTGAAATTCCAATATCGTTGGGGGGTAGGTATTTTTTTTCTTCACATTTGAATACCGACGAAGGAACAATACCGAATTCCTCACAGACTATTCACCCGGCCGTGGAGTTTAAACGTGTTTACCTACACCCGATTTCTTGGAATCGCAGACCCTTCGTACATAACACGAAGAAGAAGACTTGTTTACATCAATGAAAGTAAAACCGGATCCGGCTTAATGTAGACGAGACTACTGCTAGCAGACGACCTTATCGACTCATTAATGTATTTTCAAGGTTCCATTGCCCATAACGTCTATTTCCATTTGTAACTAATCAATTTAAAAGTTCATAGAACTCCAGACGATCTGATCGTTTCTAATTAATAATATCACAAAACGATGATTATAATACACATTAAAAAAAGACTTCAATAGCTTCGCTTTTGATAAACATTTGGTATACCTACTTATGTATATATTATTATTATTATACCAGTTGCAGAATATAATGTAATGCAATATAATATATAAGTATTTAAATGTAAACGCAAAATAAAATTACATAATATGGTCCATCTACGATGTTATTATTTATCGGTGCATTGATATTGAATATTACAATCTAATCGTTTTTTTTTACCAAGGTCACAAATTAAAAAATTGAATTTATTGGCAAAATGTCAAGTCTTCATTATTATTATTTAAACATAAAACAAAAACTACAGAAAAGTAAAACCTATGTATGAATATTGTAGGTATATTATATTATATTAAACGATTATAATCGCGATTAGGCTTAATATCAAATTTCGAGGTTAACTACTTGACACAAAGAAAATAATATATTATGCGCCTTCGTAAATTTGGTCTGACAAACAAAAATTGATCAGTAAACACATTTAAAGATAATTCCGTACCATCACTAAACTATGACTAATGTATAGATACCAATTATAATTATTATTACACGAGTAGGTAGTATTCGGCATTTCAACAGTTGTTTTTTTATACATCGTGTAAATGTACTATAGTATTCGTATTTTTTAGTTTTATATTTAAATTAACAAAAGTACACTATTATAAGATCGTCTATGGCACATGCGTTGAACGCGATCAATAATAATACAATACTTATTATTCATTCACGATTAAATCATATTTTGAAATATACGAATACGATTCAAGCAAACGTTGTAGATACCAATAACGTACACGATATACCTATGCTATGAGACAATTTTCAGAATATATTTACTATACCTAAGTACCTAATTTCCCCGTTGGTGGTGACGCATATTTAAAATTTAAATTTGTTTCAATTCGTTTATTGTATTGTCATCATAGTCGAACATTACGTGCTTAGTTTTTATAACGTTTTTGTAATAGTACAAGAATCATTTCTCATAAACAAATATCCGCTTTGAAATGAAATTGTGTGATGAATATTATTATCGACCAGCTCGGTACGATGTAATGTTGGGTCATCATTTTTTTATTCTTCCAGCCATATCGATGCGTCAGTACCAATACCGTCGATTTTTCTAAAGCTATTGTGTTATTTTTACAATACGCTTATAGAAAGACAGTGGTGCCTATACGACGACAAATTCAAATACAAATCATAATATTTTCTACAGTACGTGTAAACGTCTTCCAGAAGAAGGTAGTGACTGCTGGTAGTGTATAGTGTTAGATTATTATGGTTCGTAAATTCGAATAATTTTTTACCGCAAGAATTTTGATTTCAGGTGAGTATTTTTTTTCTTTTTGTAGTCTTTATACAGCTTTTGTTTAACCAAATAAAAATTTATCGAATAATGTAGAATTCTAATGACGACGTTCTATTATCAATGAGTCGTTGCATGCAGCGAATTTCTAGAAAATTATTATTTTCGACGAATGTCGTATTTTTATATAGAGGATTAAAGGATTCGTATGACGTCAGACACTTTTTCTTCGTATATCGTTTCGAAAGTTTACTTTTAAACGGGGGGAAAAAAAAAATAATAAAAAAATGATTGCATATTATTCTGTTGTACACGTACACACGTACATACAAAATCTGCTAATGGAACACATTTAATTTTCCATATTTTAAACTACACGTGCGTTAACATAATAATATCTATAACTTAAAATTATTTCAATATCAGCTTAACTAACAATAATAATCGTTTGTTTTATATTTTAAACATATTTTGAGGTTATTTATTTATTTTTTTTTTTTTTGATATGCAATCGACACCTTTTATATAATTCATATTTGCAGTGACAGTATTTTGCACTAACACTTAGATACATAAATTTGCGGAAATTAATTTTAAAAAAAATTACATTAAGTCGTATAAAACGATATTATAGCTGGATATATAATTTTTCAAAATGTGATTGGAAAATATCGAGTGTATCCAAATCGTTGTTTTTTAATAAAACATTTTTTCTATATTTTCTGCCGTAGTTTATATTCGTATGATTCAACAAAACTATGAATACATATTATTTTTTATACATAGTTGTATACTCACCTAATGCATATTAGTGCATTTTTATTGATTCGATAGAAATCGAGCTGATTAACCTACTCGCGGTATAATGATTATTATGTTTAATCTTCCTATATAGGTATACACACACACACACACACACACACACACACACACACACACACACACACACACACACAAACGAAATAAGTGAATACTAATGTTATAACAATTCTGATTAATGTTTTGTGTAATTAATAATGAAAATCGGACTATTTTTATTATTATGATAAACGTGTTTTTATTTATACATATCTATCTCGTTAGATAACATTATGCTACGAAATAAATGTACGCCTCGTGAGTATCGACTCCAGTCAATATGGAATGCAAAACGAGTTTAGCGTATACGCTTGAAATGTATAACTAAAACACGAGATAATCATTAAATAAAATTGATAAAATAATTAAAAATACAATTTAATCGTATCTAAATTATACTCGATTAAAATTAATGTTTACTATTTTGGTTTTCACGGCGTTTTCTCGAATATTAATCAATTTATTTTTATGATTAATTCATTAACGATTTAGAAATTTTAATTTTCAGTTAGTCACGTATAGTCAGAGGGAAGGTTTAGTGGGTAACATAATAACTAGGACCCAGGTTTTCAGTGCTAAATGTATTATTTATTTTTTGAATTGTTTTCGGTGATCTAAAAAAATACTTTCCAAGTATCTACATAATTCGACTTATGAACAGATATTTCAAAAGTGAAATTTTATTTTTACTTTTTTCGTGGCTTTCCCATTTTTAGCTTTTTTAGCATTTATTTTTTAGTAATTTTTTCCTTGGCTGAAAATAGTTAATTTTTTGTTTTTATTAGTTTAGATTTTACTAAAGGAACCTAAATATTATGTCTTGGATCGTCATTATAATATTGCTTAGCATATTATACGGTTGTTACCAATGGTATTGCAACAAAAACTTACCTCCAGGTCCTTGGGGCGTTCCAATTGTTGGCTATTTACCGTGGCTAAATCCCACCAAACCCTATAAGACTTTAACAGAACTTGCTCGTAAGTACGGACCCATTTACAGTATTCAAATGGGAAAACATTTCGCCATTGTTATGTCCGATCCAATATCGGTAAGAACGGCTTTAGCGCGAAATGAACTTGCGGATCGCACCAACTTTGAGGTAATCAATGAAATCATGCAAGAACATGGTACGTATATAATTACAACTTCGAAATACAATTTAATATTGGTAAATAGTTTATTTAACGTTTTGAAGGCTTAATATTTACTCGTGGAGAACTTTGGAAAGAACAGAGAAAATTCGTTTGTAATTGGCTTAAAGTAATCGGTGTAACGAAATTTGGAGACAAGAAAACAGACTTGCAATTAAATATCGTAGACGTCGTGTCTTCAACAATATCGGTAGGTAACTTTCGTATAATACTCTTTTTCTTCTTAAGCTTGTATAGGCTATTAAGACAATATCCTCCAGTTTTCTTTATTATTTAAAATTTCGCCCGAGTTATTTTTAATAGTTAGTAACCATTTTTTAAAATTATTTTACCATAATATGACATATATATTGTTGACAAAGCATCACTATTAACTGAATCTCGCTCAGAATCGTTTTTACGTTAGCAATGTTTTATCATTGCTTAGAGATATATATTAAATTACCTTCTATATCCTATCTCCCCAATTTTCCACCTACAACAGTGGATGTCTTTACATTATCCTAGGACAGCTTTTTAACATCGCAAATGAGATAAATGTATTCACATTATTGTTAAACATTTCATGTAAACTATGTTCCCCAATTGTAGGTTTATATACTTGTTCCATACCGATTTTTGCGTTTAAGTCTCTTCATAATAATAATTCAGGTCCTATGGAATATATTATTATAAACTCTTTCTAGTAGGTTATAGAACTCTTCATTAATCTGGTCTTCCTAATCCTCAGTTGGAGCATGATAATTTATTATTGTAATTTCTGAATATTTTCATCATCGTCATGTGCTATAAAGTTTCTTAAATTTGCAAATACGTCGTTATTTACTATAAATCTCACCTATAAATACTATCACGTCACGAAATTTGTTGTTCTCTATGTTCGTACTTCTAATCTCTAGTATAGCTACTATTTTGCACAAATATCTCTCCAGTGTAGATACTTCTGTCATCATTTCTTCTGCTGTGTACAACATCGTACTTACATTCCATTTATTATTGTTATTTTTTTTAAAAATTATTTATGTACATTTTTATTATAAACATATGTATATAGAATCTACGACAGACTAATAAACGTCCAATAGATACGGGAAAATTGTTTTTAGTGTACATTGGCGATTTTGTAAATCGAATCGTATTGGGTAAAGAGTGGCCAGAAGACGATCCTAATTGGACTTATTTACGAAATTTAGCTGAAGACGGCTCAAAAAAATTTTCCATCGCTACTCCATTGAGCGTACTACCCATTTTAAAGTTAGCAGATAAAGATTATTATACGTTATACTTATATTATTCGATAATAACATAATAATATTACAGGATAATACCAAAGTACAGAAAAACCGTTTCAGAAATCATCGAAGGTGTTCTAAAAACACATTTCATTTATAAAACATTAATGGAAAACCGAGGTAAAGAAGTGGACCAATGTAAAGATTTGATGGCATTGTTTATGAAAGAAATGACGAAGAGAAAGAACGATATTGGTCATTTCTTCAATGAAAAACAATGTTGTTTTCTGTTGTCTGACATTTTTGGTGCTGGAGTCGAGACAACTGTCAATACTCTTAGATGGTTTCTTCTTTATATGGCGTTAAACAAGGATGTTCAAGTAAGAGAAATATGTATTAACATATCCAAAGTCTGCATATTACCGAGTGGTGCGTATAGATAGGATTTTTAAACCAGAAAATACTTTTAAAATTGTTTAATAATTTAGAAAATTTAAATTAATTTTCCAATTATTTGTACAATATAACTCAAACCTCAAATCTTAACCCTGTACATGGTTAAAATCATAGGTTAAATTTCAGTTTTTAACTTGGGAGTCCTATTTTACGGCACACGCGATGTTTTTGAGCTAAGGTGTTTTCAAGTGGATTTTTTCCGTCATCTGTCCCCCAATTTTTCCAAACAATTTTCTATACTATTTATTATTATCATTACTGTTTAGAATCCTATTTTTTTAATAGTAAATACTTAAGAAGGTCTATTGTATTTATTTTTATCAAGACCCCATAACTGTGTTCTATTAAATTAGAATTTTGACTTAGTGTATTGAGTCCATCGTTTGATTTGTGTAATTTACGACTTCAGCTATATACAAATAGTATATTTTTACAGTGCGAATTACAAAGTCTACTAGATTTGGTGTGCACCGGTGACGATGGAATAATAGATTTAGAAAATATCGAGCACATTCCGTTACTAAAAGCTTGTGTATACGAAATAATGCGATTGAGACCGGTGGCACCATCGGGAATACCTCGAGTCGTGAATAAGGACATAACAATACTGGGATACCAGGTACCAAAAGGGACTATGGTTTTACCATTACAGTGGGCTATGCACCACGATAAGAAATATTGGATGGACCCAGAGATTTTTCAACCAAAAAGGTTTATGGACGACGACGGGAATTTAATCAATAAAAAAGCGTTCATGCCTTTTCAAGCCGGTTGGTAACATTTATCTATTTTTTTTTTCTTAAATTATTCCGCAGGTACTATACTGAATATATATTGTTATGCAATGATTAGGTAAAAGGGCTTGTGTCGGTGATACGCTCTCCTACTGGATTTTATACTTGTTCGGCGCAAATATAATTCACAATTTTAACATTTCTCTGGAAGACGGTTTATCCGAACAAGAAATAAACACCATAACGGACGGAGAATTTGGAATAACGCTTAGTCCAGCTAAACATAGTATTGTTTTCGAAACTCGAATTTAACTTGATATTATTCCATTTATCACTTCATTTAGGTTAGGTTATTTATGTGTTAAGTGTAATTATTAAAAATTAAACAAAATTATTATTAATATTTACAACCGAAATTAATGAGGTTACATACATTTTCGTTTTTACATGCATCAATCTGTCATATAAAATCTATGAAATGCCTGGTCAAATAATGTACTATACAATTCTTGAGATTTGAAGACTAAGAAAAAAATAATCAAACACCTAATTTTCATTATGTAATTACTTTAAAACTATTTTTTTTTTTAATTCTTTTTTTGGCTAGTTCTCAGTCAAATTTCCTTTTATAAAAATTATTGTGTTGCTATGATTATAATTTATTCGAGTACAAATGCTGGTAGAAAAGTTGTTCACAGAAAAAATAAAAACAAACATTTTAAAACCAATACATCTCTCGCTCCGCTCAGAATCTAAAAGAAAACGTACATCATTATAAAATCATTTAAAATGACTCGTGACACTGCTGTTATATATACTCCACTGTAAATAATCCGTGGCCAGATTCTCCATTTTTCCGAAGCTATGAAAAAATGATATACAGTAGAACCTCGATTATCAGTCCTTGATTAAGCGTCTTTCGCCTTAAGTGCGAACTGGTTTATCCGAAAATTTCAGTAAAATATCAACTAGATAAGCAATATATACATTTTATGGGTGAGATAAAACAATTTATTCCGATTGCGGATGTATTTTTTCCAATAAGTAATATAGTTATTGTTTAAATATGCGTCATAATTATTGAAAAAATAATAAATAATTTCGATTATCCGTCAAGGCTCTGATCCCGAGACTCACAGTTAATTTAGGTTCTCCCGTATGAACGATAAACCATTTAATTAAGGCATAAATAAAATAATAAATAGATTGATTAAATGATTTGATTTACTTAATTAATAAGAACAAAGAAAAAAAATTAAATTAAAAAAAGGACAGGCATACATCGCACGTGAGTGCAGCCACTATTGTAGGTGGGAAGTTGGGAAGGTAGGCTACAGACGAGGATTTAACATATATATGTAAGCAAAGATGAACCATTTCTAACGAAAAAACGATTCTGAGCTGAGTTCAGTTGATAATGTTGCTTTGTCAACAATACAAAATATGGTATTATGTCATATTATGGTAAAATGATTAAAACAATTTGCGTTTCTATGACAACAATGATTGTTTAAAAAAGATTAAAATAATAAAAACTTAATAATAACAAAAGATAAACAAAAACGGTTGCCAATGACAACCTTATTTTTAATCTTTCAATCTTTTTAAACTTAAAGACCAATATTTTCCTCATTATCTCAAATATTAATGAGAATTTTAAAAAATGACCTCTTCAAAGTACCACCTAGAGAAAATTCCCTTTCAGAAAAGATGCTATACTTGATAATCGGAGAATGCTTTCTGGTGGAAAAAGTGTTCACATAAAAATAAAAAAATAAACACCATTGTAAAACCAATACATTCTTCGTTCCACTCAGAATTTAAAATTAATTTTTAAATTAATGCTTATAAAACGAACTAAAAAATAAATAATAATATAAAATATCAATTATCTTCACTCTTATAATATATCATGATGCCAGATGCCATTTAAATTGAATAAGTTTATGCATAAGGCATTTTTTTATGAACTCAAAGAGTCCCTATCATAAGTTTACTTGTGATAAGAGCGATTTTGGTATTTTCTTACGCCCCATGCTTAAATGTACGTAGGTTTATCATTTATTTTACTATACTTTATTCAATTTTGGATGTTATTATGCTATGTACACGTGAGAAAATATTATAAGTATGGTATTAGAAAATATTTTTGTTAATTTTTTTTAACTTGTACTCGTACTAGTTTCACAACCTTGCAACAATATTCCGTACGTAGCTTTTAGCATAAGTCCCTCCCTAATCCAACGATAGGAATTTAAAAGCCAATTTATATATTCGATAAATTAAGCTTTTCTTAATTAACTTGACTGATTTCAAGATTAAATGTATGTATGTTGCAGGTTTTTGAATGAAATTAAACGGTTGTTTACGATTTTCTTCGCAGTTCATATTCAAACACTCTTATTATTTAAATAGTAGATTAACCGTATCGATAGATAGAGGAAAATTGGTTAGAACTCTAATATTATATTATTCTAAAATGAAAAATAATAATTTACGAGTTCTAGATTTTTCATTGTTCGGTATTTTATGAAATAATTTTATAGTAATATTAATTAATCCGTGATTACGGAAAAAAATATTAATAATTCATGATTCTAGTAAACTTTTTATGGGATAACGATTTCATTAACGTAAAGAGTGTAGAGAATAAGGTATTATTCAAAGAAATTTAAATATTAATGCCAACCACTCATTATTATACGCATCCATTTATTCGGACGCGACTGGTACTCGTATCTATCACAAGATTAATACAAATAGTAGATAGTAATAGTAGAAATGAACATCATGGAAATATTTTTCGTAATGCATTCATAATTTTTTACGTAAATATTTCTTGTCTCCCAAACGTTCGACTCTCGTCTGTTTTTTTTATATAATAATAATTAATAATCGTGATAAAAATATTTTTGTCTCTCTTTCTTATTATTATTATTTTTTTTTTCGGTATGCCATCAGTGACGTAGCTAGGGATTTATGCGTCCCGAGAAAAGTTCAAATTTTTTTAGCTACTTAGTCGAATATTCCTATAGAATACGCGTTTATTTTAAATTCTTCCCGCGATGCAAATCGTAGAGATGTAAAGTGACTACCAAATGTGCTCGAAATTCAAAATACACATACAGTTATAATACGATTTTCCTTTAAAAATCCAATATCTATTACAAATAGATATAAATTATAATTACAATATTTTGGGGCCAGAGGCATTTGCCTTCCTCGATGCTCTTTTATTATTTCATGTTTCTCTCTATGGAAACAATTATACTTCCATCTCATTTTTCCCCAGAGCTCTGTCTTTGTCGAACACTATAACGGACCGTGTAGATTTTTTTTCTGTGTCACGTAATGTTTTCAGACAGAATGTTTATAATGCCTTAAATTTGCTTGTTTAAATTAATGTTTTTTGAACTATTAAAATATCTTGGCTACTTTTATTATTTATTATTCATTTGATACTTATACTTTTATTATACTGTTTTTTTTTTTTTTTTGTATCCATGGACTTGTATGGACTCGTGTATATATATTTAAGCATCAAATTTTCACGATTAAGTTAAGCAGAAATTGTGCGTATTAATTGTATTTTGCTTAAAGATTAAAAGCCGTTTAATACACTTGAAAAAAAAATTATAGCGATACATCTGTATATCATACCGACAATATTGTTCATCGATTTCGAAATTTAAATAGGTACATCAATAGGGATGTGTGGAATACCTATACTGAAGAATCTGAATATCTTGTATACAATTTTCGGATAAATGAAGTATATTTTAACCTTTAGTTTTTTTTCCTATATCTTGCATAAAACTTTTTTTTAAGCCATTAGGTTTTATATAATACAGCTAGGGGTTGGACGAGTTAAAAATATTACTGTTATCAAATCGAAAGCTATGGATACTATTTCGACAGCACTCAAAAAATCGTTAAAGTTTCATTGATCGTAATGATGTTATTAGAAAAAAAAAATCGACCTTGGGCGAGCCACAGGGGTCTGAATCGGTATTCTATTATAATTATTATTGTCTCAAAACTGAAATCGATGTAATAAAACATCGTTGCAATTGAACTACGACAAACGATTCCTAATGGGTTTACCGAAGTACCTGTATGTTATACTTTTATTAACACCTATGTGATTAGACGTTTTCAAACATTCTCGCGGTAAATATTTCTTTAGATTTTTTTTTTTTAATTTACATTTATCAAATTTACGGAATAAATAATATGAAACAACGCGAGTGACTTTGTCTTGCAAACGTAAGACTCTAAAAATTTACATTTAATGGAGTCAGCATAGTGTTGTTGCCAGTTTCAACATTAAATTGACATCATAACAACATCAAACCTAAAGATGATAACATTGTCTACGTAACGTTGGTGGTATTTTTTCGATATTTTAATTTTTAAAAGAGATGCGAGTATGTTAAATATCACGTTGTAATAGTGTTAATATTTCATTTTTAATCTGGAGACAGCACGTCACATGTCACGTTCTCTTAAATACTTAGGTCGACTACATTCTCAATCTGACATATTTGAAAAACGTTAACTTTTTATACCATGTGTATTTTTATAATTGTGGTACAAGTATACATAGTTTAAATTTAATATTTCATGATTCTTGCTACTTGTTTAGTCCGTTGTTTTTTGCATAGATTTCAATAAAAATCGTACACTATTGTTCGTTCGTTCGAAACCTTATAGATCGTTTAGTTATGAAAAAAAAACCTCAAGCAAAATAAATCGCAGATAGTAAATATGTTGGAATATTAAATTTAGAAAGAATACAAAATGCATACATTTTCTCAGTCAAATAAACTTTCGTTTGTGTCGTATGAGTTGCTAGAACAGTTCCCCTTGAAATAAAACACAACACTGCATAAATAATATTGACAAAAAAAACATTTAACATTTTATTTTTAATAGGCTTGTACATTGGTAATATTTTCAAAAAAAAAAACAACGAGTATATCTATAATTAACATACATAATACTATGAACTAAATTAAATAATTTAAAAAAAAAAACTAAAAATAATATATGGCACATAGTTAAATACATAACGTCATAATATCGATATAGGAAAATATGCACTTGTAAATATATTTAATTCCTAATGCAATAATTTTACATTTAAATAATATAATAATATCAACAAATAATAGCGTTTTTTTTATAAATACAAATAAAATGGGAATAAATATTAAACTAAACGTAATATAATAGTTAATCAATAAATAGTTTGGACTTACGTTTAAAAAAAATAAAATAAAAAATTTGCTCGAAATTATATTATTTCTAAGAGAACTCTGTACGATACGCATCATACACCCATAATTATAACGTGTGCAAGCGATAATAAATAATGATTGTGTTTTTTTTTCTCTAATATTATACGAGGCTATACGAAAAAAAAAACATTTACTCGGTCCGTTAAAATTACATAAACAAACAAAACATAATAATAATAAAAGAGGATCTGAGATATTTCGTATACTAATGTTATACACGGACGATATTCTTTCGTTATCGATAACGATAATTTACCTGGTGCGTTTTTTCATAACGACCTTGAACGATTGCGGGGTCAGTGTGATGCCGATTTGGCCGTCCATGCTGGGCAGCTCGTCACCGTCCGGCAAGCACACGTTGAATTCGTGTAACAAGGTCGAGAAAAACAAGTACAGTTCCATCTGCGCTAGTGTCTCGCCCAAACATTTCCTCCGACCTTGATGACGGGATGGGAAAAAAATGATTAGTTTTGGTTCGGATATTTTTTTTTTTTTTTTAGGCGAGTGGCTCGCGGAATACTCACCAACGCCGAACGGTAAAAAGCAATCGGGTTTTTTTACTTTGCCCTCCGCATTTATGAACCTTTCCGGTTTGAACGCCTCCGGGTCATCCCACAAGTTCGGGTCGTTGTGCACGAAATGCTGCAGGGGTATGATCTGGGCGCCCGTCGGTATATGGTAACCGTTCAGGGTGACGTCGCTGCGCACGCGGGAAAAAGAAAACAACAAACGTTATAAAAAAAACCGCACATTTTATTGCGAAGTCGGACAAATGTTAAAAATAACGGCCCGCTTTATTGTATTATTATAATATTGTTGTTACATTATTTACCTGGTCGTGGCGTGCGTCGTACCCAAAGGCGTGATGCTGGACTTCCGGAGCACTTCGTACAGGGTGGCCTGCGTGTACGGCAGGTGCGGATAATCGTCGAGCACGGGCGATTTGTATTGCCCAACCACCGAGTCGATCTCGTCCTGCACCTTGGTCATCACGTCCGGATAGTGGAGCATGTACACCATCGCCCACAGTATGGTGTTCTTGATGGTCTCCATGCCAGCCGAAAACAGATCGCCCAGAATCTGTTGGATCTGCCGGTTAGGGTCCAGGCCCTGGAATAGTTGGTCCATCGTGCCGGCGTTCTCGGACTTCTGGATTTCCAGCAGGTACGCGTCGACCAGGTCCCGGACGAAATTCGAATCGAACGTGTTTCGGTGCTCCTCGATGATGTTCTGGAAGTACCCGGCGATCTCCTGATGGTTGTTCTTGATTTTCTGCTGGATGTTCCGCTCGTCCGCCAGATGACGCCTGGGCAAGAACAGACTTACGGGTCTCAGCATCCCGAACAGCTTGAACCCTTCGTCCACCATGTGCATGTACCGTTCGAACCGCGGGTCGTTTGGCTCAAATCGCACGCTCATCGTCAACGAACTGATTACGTTAGTGATGGCCAGACACAACGAGCCCGCGTTCAAATCTATCGGTTTGCCGCAGGCCTTGTGAAACGTTTCCGTCAGCGTAGACACTTCGATCTGTTTAGAAAAAAAAAATTCTCGCGTGAATAAATTATCATTTTTTTTTTTTCGTTTTTTTAACTTTCACAAAAACTCTAAAGACTACATAATATACGTGTAATACTCGTGTGTACGGGTAGAAACGATAATATATTATATTGTATTTCAATTATTACTGTATTATAGGGACGTCGATTCGATAAATTTACTCACCATTATCCGGCTTTCCATGTTCAACCTGTTGTGGCCCGTGAACGTCATGCCCATGTGTCTGAGCACCAAATGTAAAAACTTCCTCTGCGACTCCCATAACTTTCCGGTGCTGTTCACCGCGCCTGTTACGAACCATAACGAAAATTATATTTAAAAACAATAATTATTAGAAATACGCTCCGCAACGGATCCGCAGGTCGCGGTAATAATAAAAATTTGCGGTGAACGAAATGTTTAGGTTTTATTTTTTTTTATTATTTTTTTTTTTTTCATTCTAAACCATTATTCGTGTGTGTGTCCGCGCACGCGTTGTGCAACGTACGGCGGCGGCGGTCGTGGGCCACGTGATTATTTAATAATTAATATTGTGCCGGCGTATAGTATGTCAAAAAAAAAAAAATTGCGACACAGTTTCAAAATATATTCACAACGTACGTACATGCGCGCCGATATCTCGAGGACATACGTACATAATATTTTATTTAAATATAAAAAAAAAAAAACAATTAAAAAAAAAAAACATACACATATATATTATATTAATGTATCGAACGTGTAATATATAATACATAATATATTATTATGGCGATCATATTTCATACGTGTACTATATATATATATATATATAATAAAACGCTCACACGCCTATATGAGAAATTTTTTTTTTTTTTTATAATCGCGACTATAATTTCGTAATCGTAGGTATACATCTGCGCGAGGTTAGGTTGAGTTAGAAAAAATTGCATAAAAAACTCGGAAAAAAAAAAACTCACCGTATCCGCCGATAATGTCCATGTATCCGTCGTTGGGCCGGCCCGTGACGGATTTCATGTCGAACGCCGTCTTGATGAGCTTGTGGTCGCTGAGCAGTATGACCGTGTTGCCGCGCTGCGTGAACGAGCATATGGGCCCGTACTGCCGGGCCAGTTCGTTGTACTTCAAGTACGTACAGTGGTTGGACAAAAAGGGCGCGTACCCCAGGAACGGCACGCCCCACGGGCCGGGCGGCAGCGTCCGGGCGGCTCGGAGCTGTCGGTACGCCGAGTAGGTCAGGCCCAGCGCGGTGGCCACCACGTTCAGCCAAAGCTCGCGGCTGTACCCGCGGCCGTCCGGCGACATGATCGTCTCCGCGGCCATGGCGGTGGTGCAGTCGGGAACCGCGAACACGGTGCGGGCGATATGTTATAATTATATTATTATCACGAAGACGGTTATATTGTGTCGTGATAGCAGTCGCGTGAAAAAAAAAAAAAAGTAAAACCGAAACGCTATAATAATATTTACGGTTACAATAATGATAATAATACGGTATTGTGTATTACGAAATGCACGCGCCACCAGCGTTTAGTCGGATGTAACGAAATTCCGGTAAAAAAAAAAAAAAATTTTTTTTTTTTTTTAATAATATAACATACGTACGATATAATAAATATTATATGTATTTTATTTATTTATTTTTTTTTTTTTAATAATAATAATTATATACGGGTATATGTAGGTGATAATATTATTGTAGCGGCGCGAGTCCGTTTTGATGCGCGCGCGACGGACGTGCGTTTAGCGGCCGAATGGTACAGTAAGAGGCCCGTGCGGTGTGTGCGTCGCGGACAGCGGTTGGGATCACTTTTGAAAATAATCGTGGGAGAGTAATTCTTTTGGTCTTTTATAATATATCGGGGTGTCGAAAGCCCATATAGTAGGGATACCTATACTACTACTCATACGCCGCGTATGACTCGCGTACTATACGGTCGCGTACGCACGCCGCGCGCAGTTATTTTTTTTTCTCTTCTTCTTTTTTTTCCTTTTTTTTTTTCAGATATACACACACGCGCGCACACATACACACACACACACACACACACACGCGCGCGCGCGCGCGCACACACACACCGGTATTATACCTACAATATAATAATTTCGTTGTTGTTGTTGTTTTGTCTCCGTCTATCGTCCGGCGCGCGCGTGCGGCGTAGGGGGAGGAGCGCGCGCCAGATTTCCTTCCCTTTTTTTTTTTCTGCGTTTTTTTTTTTTTTTTTCAACATTATTAATTTATCATTATCATTATTATTATCATTTCCTTTCCTCCACCCAGCCGTCCCTACTCCCGTAGCGGCCCGGCGCGGCGGTGGCGTCGCGGCTACGGCGGCGGCCGCGGCCGGCCCGGGACGCGGACCGACAGACGCGGCCGAGCGCTGGGCCGGCGCACACCGTCCGAATAGATCCTCCCAGCGGTTCCGCCGCCGCGCCCACCGCCGCCGTATCGGCACCGCTACGTTCTTAAGCAGTTCGTAGGTACCTGCACGACATAATATTGTACTATTATTACATACTTGTTATTTTTTCGGTAATAATTTTCGATTTTTTCCGCGGTCAGTTTTTATTCGGTTTTTTTTTTTTATTATTATTATTTTTCATCGTTTTCTATGCAATACGCACCTCACCCGCGCGCCACGTACGTACCTACGTGCGTGCGCTCACGTGCGTATTTTTTTCTTCTTTTTCTACAGGCATGATTTTGATTTTTTTTTTTTTTCGATACGACTTTCACCCAATTCGAGTATGCGGATCATTATAAACAATAACAATGTTTTTTTTTTTTTACCCGTACGCGTTTTTGATTTTACGCGGGATTTTTATTACGTTTGTTTTTTTTTTCTACCCATAATAGAAAATCAAATGCAATAGTATAAATAACAAACACTTAATATAATAACATAATACTCGTATATAGCAATAAAACAACCGTCAGAATCGCACCAGAAACGGCGAACTTTCGCTCTGTGATGCCGTATACAAAAACAAGTATAATATAGTACACGCGTTTATTTCATATTATATTTGTTCCGTTTTTTTCTTCTTTTTTTTAGTTCGAAAAAAAAACCAAACATGTCCACATTTAGAATCGTTAAATTATTATTATTGTCTTAAACGCGCTCGACTCGTCGGCATCCTGTAGCAGTTCCGCTAACAGTGTTTGCGTTCCATAGAAATTTTTACAAAACTTTTCAATATTTGTTTACCGCTTGTTTGCGCTATATTCACGTGGATTCAGCAATACACCGCGAACGCCGCCGCGCAGGGTTAGGTTAGGTTAGGTTAGGCATAGCGATACCTATTCTTATATAAAACCCCCGTACCCGACTCGATAACGACTCGTTTCGCGTTAAAAACCAATCGTATTGATACGTTTCCGCACAGAATATTTTCAAAGTACCGATAACGCATTTTTAATAACAATGTGTTTCGACCGGGGGGGGGGGGAAAGAAAAGAAGTCGCTGTAATAGTATCGTCTTATAATACATGGAGCGTCTATAGGCCGGTCATTTCAGTTTTTTTGAAACGTACCGTGCCGACAACTAGGCAGACCGATGCATTGTATTAGAGTTTCGCTGTAGAGTTGTTGGAAAAAAATTTGTGTACACCCGTTAAACGGCGTATGGCTCACGGCCGCAAACCGCGGGGGCACGCTCGACGCACAAGTCCTATTGAAGAAAAAGAAGAAGAAAAAAAAACAATTTTTTCCCTGCGCAGAGAAATCATTTGCCGGTCCAGATCTTGACGATTTTTTAATGTGCCGACCCTGCGCGGGATCCCGAATGACGTCCCTGTACAGTTGAATTAATATAAATTATCCCGACGAGAGCGTGCGTGAATCGGCTTAACGACCAACCGAATCGACTGTAATAATATTATATTTTAATCGTATTGCACGCCGACGTATCGTGATAAAATACGAATATTGTACGCCGACGATCGACGGCGGTACGTCCCGTGAATACATAATGTACGCTTTAATTAGGTAACCAAAAAAAAAAATCCGTATCATTCATTCAATAATATAGGTGTATGATTTTTTGGCGATACTCTCGCGACGCCAGAAAAAAAAATATTAATCGTATTCTTGAGTTTAAAAAAAAAATCAGCGTGCGTAGGGAATGCGCGGCGGCGTTAAATTCCTGAGCACGTACCTATGCATGATTTTTTTACGACTCCAAAACGAAATCCGACCGATTATTAATCTGTACGTACGTATTAATATGATATTACCTATCGCGCGGCTTTTAATATAGAATTCAACGTGTTCGAATTTACACACCCATACGTTACTGAAATATAATAATTTAGGTGTGTGGTGAATATACTCGCCCGTTTTGTGAAACACATCCGCGGTAACCGTGTGGTATATGAAATGTGAAACACATAGGTGGTTACCTATGTGTTTCACATTTGTAACCGTACACGAAACGATATAATTATTGAATATATATAATATGAGCAGTGAATATCCCTCCCCTTCCTTTTAAAAAAAAAAGTCCACGACCAAACCTTCCCCTTTATTATTGGACTTTCCCTCGCAGTTATCTATCTACTTACCAGTGAGAATATTTCGTGTATAAATTATATCGTTACAAAATCTACTAATTTATTGTTCAATCGTTTAATCGGTCATTTGACAAATATCAAGTCGAAAATGTGTGGAAAACCGATTAAAACTTAACAGTTGCCTTAAAGTTGAATCCAGCACCGAAAATCAATATGTATCCTTTACAGTACCCTTAACCAAAATTAAAGTGACTTGATGCCATTTCTCTATGGAAAACGTATCAAATCTTCAGAGAATCAAAATCCAACATAATCTCGTTTTACCAAGAATGGTAACTATATTGTGTTATTTTTCAAATGACCGATTCGGTTTTGTTCTAGTAGATTTACTCTGTTTTGAATGTTTATAATGGACTTTACTGTGTGTCCGTTTGGACACTAACAAATTCCTTAAAAAAATGCACGGATGAGCACGCAGAGATCTATAGAGACGTGAGTACTAAATGATCCGCGAATTTATAGATAACCTGGGAAGGTATACTCTTCCGGAAAATAATCTATGCCTATAATAATAGTTGAGTCTGAAAAGTAAAAAAAAAAAGATCCGATACTGGGGATGGGTAAGGCCACTGTTGTAGGTGAGAAGTTAGGAAGGTAGGATACATAAGATTATTTCATTGATATCTGTAAAAAACGAATAAACCATTGCTTGACGAAAGACGATTCCGAGCGCACTTTGATAATACATAATTTGTAGCACCGTAATTTTGTTTTGCAATTTTCGTTTAAATTTGATTTTGAAACACTTATTAAAAAAAAAAAGTCGTCCGATGATTTTGGAAATTTTACCACGTCTAGATAATTCCAATATAATAATTATTACTAAGTTTCAAGTCTCTACGTGTGCTTATAACCGAATTAAAGAAAAAAACTCCCAAAAATTAAAATTCCTTAAAAGCTCAAAAGTAGCTCAACATTTTTAGTAATGATACCGTAAAAAGTAAATAAAAAAAGCAACGAAAAAAGTATCTTCTGATTTTTCGATTAAATCATTTTTTCTAGTAGAAAACGTTGTCCGTATTTTTATAAAATAATGAAATCGTAAAATTGTACGTTTTCCTACGTTATTTCCCACTTAGGTAGTGATTTTATTTAAAAAATGGCGTCGAAAATCAAAAAATTACATTTTTAAAGTATAACTTAGACAACTTGAGCTTTCAGAAAAATTACAGAAAAATCGGAGTAAGTTTACTAGGAAAAAACGTGTCCACAGACTAGAACAATGGAAAAAAAAAGAGAAAGAAATAAACAGCATTGTAAAACCAATAGCTCCCTCGTTACGATTGGAATCTAAAACTCTAACATTTTCCGTTACATTTGTCTAGATTTCAGGACCTCGATATAATATATTATGTGAGAAACATTATGGCAATTGTGAATACAGATTCGTATCAGACTGCGAATTACGTTACGTATACGTATATAAAATATAATGTATAGCTGATAACAATGGAAATAATCATAATTTGCCATTGTAAATGATAACGATTTATTTTCGTAACCGAGATATATTGTAAAATTATACATTTTTTGTTCAACTTCGTTTCTATATTAATATGATAGTAGCAAAACGAATTTTGATGAATCTTCGGCCGGACGCGTTTGATTTCTCAATAAAATGTTCACGAAAACCGTTATGCAACTGTATACCTTATGCAGTGATAATATCCCCGAGAGAAACAAAAAAAAAAAACAATAATAATAAAAATTGGCCAAACATTTGAGCAGTGGACGCAGTGGTTGTGTATTTATAGTAATAAGGTATTCTGTGCGCGTCGTGTAGAAACCTTAAACGAATAAAATAATACATATTTGTAACGCGAGTTTAAAAAATATAACAATAAAATAATACGATGTGAATACATATGTATATAGTATAAAAAGTTAACGCATGTCCACGGGTAGGCCCGCGGATAGTTGGAAATAGAGAGCCTAGGTAATAAAGAGAGTGGCCAACTCGGCGAACGTTCTCTATTGGCTGGCTATTATCATTGATTATTTGGACGCCATTAATCGTCCTAATAAGTGTTCTACGATTTACGATTCTCTCGCATTCACCCACTTGTTAAATTTGTATAATATATTTTAATGTCGGCAATTTAATTTCAATCGTTAATTATAATTTTATTGATCAATTATTTCTATTTTTTTTTCTTAATTTACGATTAACGAGACGAAATTGCTTACAAAAAAAAAATTGTCTAGAATTATTTCCGTTCGACGATATGTCAACATTTTTTGAATCCATAAGTTTTGCGGCTAGTAACTATCAATATTGATTTTTTTTCCTTGTCAACTATATAATAGAACCTTATGTGTTTCTCGTTACATTTTGATGATTCACCTCCATGTCGTTTTTTGTATAGCGATAATTCAATACGTTAAAAAAAAATAAACACATACGCAAACATTGCGCTATTCATCTAAAATCGCTGCTCGAGTATGAACTTGAATTTTTTTTTTAATGAAATAAGATTCAATCGTATTTGTTACGCCGGCATACCCGCGATTATTTACCGCGTAAAATTTTACCTCCACCCGGTATTTACTAGAGAATATTTACCAGGAGTCAAATTTCACTCGAGAATATTTACCATCCAGTAGAATTTTTGTAGGTAAAATTTCACTTATTAATTTTTTTAAGAAATTTTCGTTATCTATTGTTTTATCGAATATATATTACTATAATATGGAAAGGGCTTTACTTTGTTTATAATATTATCGATAGTTAATTTACTACGGATGAACTTTTAATTTCATTCTGCGTAGTTGTATGCAATCAGTAGCTTATATAGAGTATCACACGATGATCTGACACTTAAAATAACTTTTGTTCTATTCAATATTTTTGATATATATTTTTTTTTAAATATTTGGTATGCCTCTGCGCTACAGTTTATATATATATATATATGAGCATTTTTTTGGGGAGGGGAGGAGGCTTAAAATAAAAATGTTACAATGCGATGATAATATTATTACAATAACAACGGCAATTCAAAAAAAAAAAAACCAATAATAATGAGAAAAAATACTGAAATTATGGCATTATGGACAAAGTAGAGAAAACTGTGAAACAGACTGAGACACCGATAATGAAAGTATCATACTAGGTATTTTCGATTAAAATTTCATAGAATTCAACGCTTTTAATTTAAAGTACATGAAACCATCCCATATGTTAAATATCGAATTGTAAAGGAAATATTCAAAACTAGACCACACGAGCAGGTACAATGTTCCCATATAAAATAATAATAAAAAAAAATGGACATACTTTGCGCGTGCGTGGGCTACTGTTGTAGGTGTGAAGTTGGGAAGGTGGTAGATGGGAAATTTAATGTATATCTGTATGCAAACCATTGCTAACGAAAAAACCATTCTAAGCGGAGTTTGGATGATACTGATGCTTTGTCAACAATATCTATGTCATGTTATTGAAAAATAATTACATAGACATTAAACATTTTCTTTAGTAATTTTTATATAATATTATACGTATTTTCCCGTTTTTTCTAAATTTTTACCTAGTTTTTCCATTTTTTTTCCACGTTTTTTCCATTTATTGGGAAAACTGTAAAAACCAAAAAATGACCTCCTTCAAGTACTACCACAGTCAGATTTCCTTTAAAAAAAAGTACTATCATTATAAATCGAAACAAAATTTCTGGTAGAAAAGTTCTCCAAAGAAAAAAATATAAAATTTAAAAACTTACATCACTGTAAAATCAATACGTGCATCGCTACGCTTTGAATCTAAAAAGCAATAAATTGACTTCAAACTTTTCTTCTTTGGGACCAAAGATATAATTCCAGCAATCTTTGATACACGAAATACCTGAGTAGTACTTACTACAGTATAAACATAAATATTTAGTCAAAAGTATGAAAATTAAAGTAAGTGTATTATTATTATTATTTCTCCCTATAAATATATATTATTAAGAAAGATATTTATATCCCGTATGTATGTACATTATATAGATATGCACTAAAAAAACCAAAATATGTTCAAAAATATACGAAACCCTTTAAATATACTTTATAAATGTACAAATACAAAATAAAGTACCCTCGAAATCCGAAAAAC